AATAGCATACATAAATATACAAATGTACTCTCTCTGTAGCTGTCTGTCTGTCTCTTTCTCTCTCTCTCTCACACAATAACCTCGTAGAGAAAAAGAGAATAAACGCGATAACACTAATAAAAAAGTCAACTCTAAAAGAAAGAAAAAAAAAAAAAAAAACACGAACGAGGGAGAGAGAGAGGGGGGAAGGAGGGAGGGAGGGAGGGAGGGAGCGAGCGAGAGAAAGAAAGAGATAGACGCAATATACTCCAAAATAATATTAATAATGATAATAATAATAATAAAGATAATAATAATTATGATAATAATAATCAATACAATAATAAATAAATAAATAAATAAATAAATAAGAATAAGATAAATGAATAAACCAGACGACCGAGCCGAGCGCCGTCAGCACGCTCCACCTGGCAGGGCCGGGCGTCGCGCGAGGCTCTCCCACGTGCTCTCGCTTCGGGCGCTGACGACCTCGGCGCACGCTCGCCGACGCAACAGGTGTGAGTCTGTCAGCACGCATTAGCTCTCAACCCCTTCCCCGGGTCCGCTCGAATCCAGGTCAAGGTCGGCCGAGGCTTTTCCCGAAGGCGCTTAACGACCTGTGCGTGTGAGGGTGACCTGGTTTCGAGTTTCAAGGCTGGAGAGTTGGGTGAGAATTTTTCTTGATTTCGATGTCCTTTTCTTTCTTTCTTTCTTTCTCTTTTTCGTTATTTTTTTCTTTTCTCTGTTTCTGTATATGTCTGTCTGTGTCTATGTCTGTCTCTCTCTCCCTCTCCTTCTCCCTCTTCCTTCCCCTCCTTCTCTACCTCTTCTCCCTCTCCTTCACTCTTCCCTTTCCTCTCTCCCTCCTCCTTCTACCCTACCCACCCCTACCCCCTCTCTCTACGAACCCTGTTGTGAATACACACTAAATACTTAACCATTTGGGCGAAAACAAACGACAAACTACTCACTTATGTCGCCCTTATTGACGGTCACGCTGAAGGAGTGGCATACATCCTGGCACTCGGGGACGGGCCGGAAGTGCCAGCTCTTGGTGCCGCTGATCTGCGCCTGCCACGACGGCCTCTGCACGTAGTCCAGCTGTGAGGGGAGGGGAGGGGGTAAGCGAGGAGGCACAGAGAGGGGGTGAGGGAATGTAGGCCTATGCAGTTGTATGGAAACAGTGACGAAGAGACAGGCATACTGATGGATAATTATTTATTCATTTATTGGAAAAAAAATATCTGCCGTGTCAACATCTAAGGTGCTTAGCAGCGAATCCAAAATATAGCGCCAGGGGGAGGGGGGAGAAAGCCCGGCGTGAGAGGTTTTTTGGTTCATAAGGCGATGTCTGTGGGTTCCCACAATGATTAATTTTCATAACAAATAAATGTGATAGAGATCAAAGTTTATATAAGCATCACGATAAAGTATTATGGCGTAAAGGGTAAAAAAATGATAACGATTAGGATAAGTGGACAGAAGAAGGGGATGAAGAAGAGAAGGAAAAGGAAAAGGGGAGAAGAAACCCAGCAGAATTAGCAGAAGCAAGGGCCAAGATTCAAGGCAGGGGGGGGGGGGCCTCTCTTGGCCCTCAGTCCCCGTCTCCTGAAGCCTTACCCCCCCCCCCAGACAACGACGAGAACGGATGGGGGGGGGGGGCTACAGACGGACAAGTAAACATAAACAGTCACACACACTTACACCTCTCCCATACACATTTAAACACACACACAAGCACACACACACACACACACACACACACACACACACACACAAACACCCCTCCCTACACACACGCAACAAGCAAACGCGCACGCAAATACACTCGCCTGCTCTCCCGATACATTCTCCTCCGTCACGCAAATGTTAGTCTATCATGTCGTTTTAAAGACCAAAACAATCTTCAATCATGCAAAACCACATCAGGCTCATCAAACCGTAGTAACCTTCAACAACTTGCACGGAAACCCTAGCGTGTTGCAACTCGCGGATATCGTGCAACAATTTGGAGTCAAGCGAGTAGCTGCATCATCGATTTTTAAAGAGGAAACTGTTGTTGTTTTTCTTTGCTTTGTTTCTCTCTCTCTCTTTTTGACACACGAAAGTACTCTCTTGCATATCATGCAACATGTGCTTGCAAGCTTGACTAGGAGTGTGTGTCTTGAGTTGTATGCGTGTTTTGAAATCTGTCCCTTTTCTCCCTCTCTCTCTCTCTCTTTCTCTCTCTCTCTCTGTCTCCCTCCCCCCCTCTCTCTCTCTCAGCCCCCCCCCCCCTCCCCTCTCTCTCTCTCTCTCTTTGTCTCCCTCCCGCCCCCTTCTCTCTCTCTCTCTCTCTCTCTCCTCTCTCTTCCTCTCTCCGTCCCTCCTTCCCACCTTCCCCTCCATTCCCTCTCCCTTCCTCCTTCCTTCCTTCCCCCTCTCCCTCTCCCCCCCTCCCCTCCCCCCCTCTAAATACCCCACTGAACTCTAACGAGGACAAAGTACTGTGGCATGTCAGGCAAGCTTGTGGCCTTGATAACGCTGTCGGTCTCACTGAAGCGTCGGTGAGTCTGAGGAGGGCGGGGGTGGGGAGTGAGGGTGAGGAGGAGGGGGGGAGGGAGCAGGAGGGAGTGGAGGGGGGAGAAAGAGGGGTGGGGAGGGGATGAGGAGGAGGAAAGGGAGGAGGAGGGGAAAAGAGGGGAAGAGGGTGGGTGGAAAGGAAAGGGAGGAAGAGGAGAGCAAAGAGCGAGAAAGCTGAGATCCAGAGAAAGACACACAAATAGAAAGAGACAGAAAGAGTGAAAGAAAAATAGAAGGAGAAAGAAAGGGTCAGGCACTCATGCACGTGCGCACAGTCACACACACACACACACACACACACACACACACATATACAAACACACACACACGCACACGAGGAACCCCCTTTATTAATAACACATAACGCTAATAATATCCGGTGCTAAACGAATTAAAAGCGAAAAGAGAGAGCTCATTAAAACGAAATGCCGAATATCAAATTAAATATCAAATTAATATCTAATTATAATCCTTAAAAAAAATCTGAATAAAATAAAGTATTCATATCTCTAAAACAACATCTAGTTCGACATTCTAATCTTAATTGTTATTCTATAATTGTATGTCACCGGAAGTGAATTATCATTTACCACTAGGATTTCGGTGTCTCTCTCTCTCTTTCTTTCCTCCCTTCGCTCTCTTTTTCCCCCTACTCTCTCTCCCTCCCTCTCTCTCTCTCTCTCATCCCTCCCTCTCCCTTCTTCTCTCTCCTTCCTTCCTTCCTTCCCCCTTTCCCCCCTCCCTCTGTATATCTATTTATCTATCTATTTATTCAGCTATTCTCTCCCCCCCCCCCCTCTCTCTCTATCTATCTCTCTCTCTCTCGCGCGCTCTCTTTCTCTTTCTCTCTCTCTCCCTCTCTCTCATTAACATGCAAACACAAAATAGCAGAGAGACGAATTATCCTTCTAATTTCCGGCTTTCATCCCCTCCCCCCTTGTCACCCCCCCCCCCTTTTCCTCCCCCTCTCCACCCAAAAAATAAATTCGACAGAAGCTCCACCCCAGTATAACACTATTTACATACAGTGGTATCCGGGTGGAACATCCGAGGATGTGAATAGACAAAGAGATAAAGGGGTAGAGGGATAAAGAGAGAGAGAGAGATGAGGATGTGAATAGACAAAGAGATAAAGGGGTAGAGGGATAAAGAGAGAGAGAGAGATGAGGATGTGAATAGACAAAGAGATAAAGGGGTAGAGGGATAAAGAGAGAGAGAGAGATGAGGATGTGAATAGACAAAGAGATAAAGGGGTAGAGGGATAAAGAGAGAGAGAGAGAGAGATGAGGATGTGAATAGACAAAGAGATAAAGGGGTAGAGGGATAAAGAGAGAGAGAGAGATGAGGATGTGAATAGACAAAGAGATAAAGGGGTAGAGGGATAAAGAGAGAGAGAGAGATGAGGATGTGAATAGACAAAGAGATAAAGGGGTAGAGGGATAAAGAGAGAGAGAGAGATGAGGATGTGAATAGACAAAGAGATAAAGGGGTAGAGGGATAAAGAGAGAGAGAGAGAGAGATGAGGATGTGAATAGACAAAGAGATAAAGGGGTAGAGGGATAAAGAGAGAGAGAGAGAGAGAGATGAGGATGTGAATAGACAAAGAGATAAAGGGGTAGAGGGATAAAGAGAGAGAGAGAGAGAGAGATGAGGATGTGAATAGACAAAGAGATAAAGGGGTAGAGGGATAAAGAGAGAGAGAGAGATGAGGATGTGAATAGACAAAGAGATAAAGGGGTAGAGGGATAAAGAGAGAGAGAGAGAGAGAGAGAGATGAGGATGTGAATAGACAAAGAGATAAAGGGGTAGAGGGATAAAGAGAGAGAGAGAGATGAGGATGTGAATAGACAAAGAGATAAAGGGGTAGAGGGATAAAGAGAGAGAGAGAGATGAGGATGTGAATAGACAAAGAGATAAAGGGGTAGAGGGATAAAGAGAGAGAGAGAGATGAGGATGTGAATAGACAAAGAGATAAAGGGGTAGAGGGATAAAGAGAGAGAGAGAGAGAGATGAGGATGTGAATAGACAAAGAGATAAAGGGGTAGAGGGATAAAGAGAGAGAGAGAGATGAGGATGTGAATAGACAAAGAGATAAAGGGGTAGAGGGATAAAGAGAGAGAGAGAGATGAGGATGTGAATAGACAAAGAGATAAAGGGGTAGAGGGATAAAGAGAGAGAGAGAGAGAGAGAGAGAGAGAGGAGAGAGAGAGAGAGAGAGAGAGATGAGGATGTGAATAGACAAAGAGATAAAGGGGTAGAGGGATAAAGAGAGAGAGAGAGATGAGGATGTGAATAGACAAAGAGATAAAGGGGTAGAGGGATAAAGAGAGAGAGAGAGATGAGGATGTGAATAGACAAAGAGATAAAGGGGTAGAGGGATAAAGAGAGAGAGAGAGAGAGAGAGAGAGATGAGGATGTGAATAGACAAAGAGATAAAGGGGTAGAGGGATAAAGAGAGAGAGAGAGAGAGAGAGATGAGGATGTGAATAGACAAAGAGATAAAGGGGTAGAGGGATAAAGAGAGAGAGAGAGAGGAGAGAGAGAGAGAGCACACCACGCATGTTTGTGTAAAATGTTTGTGTGCATTTTGGTCACGGGAATCTGCATACCTCGGTTCGTGTTGTAATGCATATGGATGTACACGCGCATCGGGGTGTAAAATGAGAGGGCGAGCGTAACTGTATACCAATATGCAGTGGAAAGGCATTATTTGTGTATTTATATGTGCCAGTATGCGCACGCATGGACACCGACATATACATATACTTAAGTAGACATCCAGACACAGACATACAGGCAGACAGACAGACACACACACACATGCACTTAATATACCCACTAGCTCAGTTCCCCCACAGAAATCCTATTCACAGCTAAACAGACCCCCCCCCCCCCCATACCTTCGCCCACGCACCAGCTCACATACCAGCACCTCACCTTCACCCATATCCTCGCCTATACCCTCGCCCACGTAGCAGCCCATAATCTCACCATACCCTCACCTACAAACCCACCCACACCCTCGCCAATACCCCCACCCCGCCCACTCACCCTCCGTCCATACCCCACACACACCCCACCCCCACTCACCCCCATCCATACCCCACCCACTCCCCCCCTCCCCCGCCCATACCCACACACACACCCCACACCGCCCACTCTCCCCCCACACACAACCCACCCATACCCCCCTACCCATATCCCCGCCCATACTCACATGCCAAGCCGCCCCAGCTCCGCCTCCGCCCATGAAGACCCAGTCCAGCGCCGAGGATTCTGAGGCCGCGGGGAGGAAGGGCGGCCGGGGTGCCAGCTGCCGCAGGATGGCACTCACGCCGGGGGAGCAGTTACTCCTGGAAAGAGAGAGAGAGAGAGAGAGAGATGAGGATGTGAATAGACAAAGAGATAAAGGGGTAGAGGGATAAAGAGAGAGAGAGAAAGGAGGAGGAGAGAGGGGAGGGAAGGAGAGAGATAAAGATATAAATAGACAAATAGAAAGAGAGAGAGAGAGAGAGAAAATGGGAGAACGGAGAGAGAGACGGAGAGAGAGAGAGAGAGAGAGAGAGAGAGAGAGAGAGAGAGAGAAAGAACGATTAGCTAAACCCTTCGAAACGACGGGAAGTAAACAGCGTTACATAACATTTAGAGATTAATAAGGAAAGGAACCCGTGTTTTGCAATTTGCGAATGTTGCTTTAATACAGCTAGCCAACTCTTGCAATAAAGTTAAGGCTAGAAAAAGCTCAATCATGACTAAAAATAAAATACGCTTATTACAAGATTAATTACTACGTTCATTGTATTGTTAATTAAAATGATTATCACCATTAAAAGAGAAAAAGAAAGACATTTGTCATAAATACATATACATTATACATATACTTTAAACACTGAAGTATAGTTTCAATTCGCCTGAGTGTTATTTGAAACACGAGGAAAAATATACAAGGGTTATTCGCACTCCTAAAAATGGGCGAATAGTGGCAGTGATGTAATGCTGAAGTTTCCTACAGACTCTCCGTAATATTGAGGAAGAGGCTAAACTTCATCTAATATAATAGGTTGGCTATAGAGTAATTCTGAATACTATGTAGCCTGAAGTTTGTGAATAAAAATATGTGAAAATAAAGATCTGGGAAATAGGATTGCTAATCACGTATATAATAAATGTATAATAATAATAATAATAATAATAATAATGATGCTAATAATAATAATAATAATGATAATGGCAATGGTAATGCTAATAATAATAATAACAATAATAATAATAATAATAATAATAATAATAATAATAATAACAATAATAATAATGATAATTATAAAAACAAAAAATAATAATTATAACAATATTAGGGATAATAATAATAATTCCCACATAGCATGAGACTACACATCTTTCTCTTCTCACTGAGTGCTATAAAAGTGAGAGAGGAAGGAAGAAGGGATAGAGTGAGAGATAAATAAAGATAGATAGATAGATATATAGATAGAAAGAGATAGAGATAGAGATAAAGATAGAGATAGACAGATAGATAGATAGATAGAGATAGAGATAGAGATAAAGATAGAGATAGATAGATAGATAGAGATAGATAGAGGGGGGGGAGGAGACCCCGCCCGAACAATCACAGCGCTCTGTTCGGCATAGGGTGGGAGGGAAGGGGTAGGAGCAGGGTGGATACCACCACGGATGTGTCACTTCCGGCCAGGAGAGAATCGTGGGAAACTCCGGTTTATCTCCCTCACTTTCCCTCCACTCCTCCACTCCCCCTCCACTCCCCTCCACTCCCCTGGCTCTCTCCTCCCCCCTTCCCGTCGGTCCTGAAATTTGTTGGAATGTAAATACCGTTTCGCTCGCCCATTCCTTTACAGTAATATTGACAGAGGGAGAAGAGGAAGAGAGGAAGGGGAAGAGGGAAGGGGAAGTAGAGGGAGACAGTAAAGGAAAGAGGGTGGG